TGATCCTGGGCAAGTCACTTAATCTCTCTAAGTCTTAGGTTTTTTATCTGTAAAATGGCCATGATGAAAATAACTACCTCCTGGAATTGCATGAGGATTAGAGGAGATAATATATAAGGAAGGCCTTGTATCCAGGACTCACTGAGAAAGGCTAATCATAGATTGGGAAGTCATTTGATCATTTGAAATGAGTGAAGGTAGAGAATGAGAGGGTGGTTACGTCAAAGTGGAAAAGAACATGAAATACTTACATGGTTATTTTGGTAATCTGCCAGTAGTTGACTTGAAAATGCCATGTTGAGTTCTTTGGGCCTCAGCCTATCTATACCATAATAGTAAGTTAGACTACGTGATCATTGCGGTCCTTTTAACTATTCTTTGATGCCTAACTAACCATCTTTGAACTCTAAAACCATATCATCTATGTTACAGATTTCAGAATAAAAACGTCCGTTTTTTCAGATGCTATTAATTTCTTGATTTGGAGTCATTATATGGCAACACCTAGAGTTTTACCTCTGTTAGACATTTAAGTTTGTTTTTATGTGGCTGCTTCCTTAAATAATTTCGTTTTGACCCTAAAATATAGTTTTTTCTTCTCTTTTCTTCTTCTGTCTCTTCTTCTTTTTTTTTTTTCAATAACCACCTTGTAAAAAGACTATTGTTTGCCTTGGCCCTTTTAATCTGCCCATGAGGAATTCAAGCCGAATGATAGGGAGCTGTGAAAATCCAGTTAGTGTGAGCTGTAATCTTTTTTGCTGGCTTTAAATAGTTAGAGTACCATGCAGACACCCTGCAGATAACTGAATCAAAACATAAAGTAATCACCTAAACATGGATTCTGCCTTTGCTGTTATGGAACTATAGTAGAAATTGCTAATAACCATTTATTTTTCAGAAGAATACTTGGTCATGATATCAAATAAAATCAGGGTTAGATATTAAAAGCTCTATTTCACAGGTAGGCAACCTGGGTGTTTGTGAAAAGCATTGATTTCTGAAAGTTTGATATTATCCAGTATTTATAATATCCTCTATTGTAGAATTAGGAAAACATCTTTATAGAAAGAGAATATTTATAATCCTCTAATCTTTCAGTTGTCTTCTACTTCAGATATCGCTCAAGGAAAACAAGAAAATGTTAATATAATCAGGCTTTTTGAACTATAATAAAACACAAGAAGAAAGTGTGCTGCCTCTCTTTTTTTTCTTATAAAAGAAACTGGTTTCACTAATGCAGTTTATTGAGGTAGCAAAATATTCTCTAATAACTTTGTCAAATGGAGGTCTATTTTTCTAGGTTTACTGGCTCCTTTTTTTTTTTTTTAAGTTAAAAGATGGATCTCTCATCCATTAGATTCTGCATTAGAGCGATGAGAAACACTGTGTGCAGTATGCCGATGCCGCCTCCTAATTTTATTAGCTTTCCATTTTCTAATACTGCTGTTGATAATATTCTGGTGAAGTTTATAAAATAAAATAGGCTATTTGTTGAAACCAATATCCTAGTGTTGCTGGCATGATTCATGCTACATTAGGAGTTCATAAGTCATTAGTAATCTTTGATGTTCAGTGTGTTATCCTGAGCAGCAAACTTGCACTCCTTTGTTTTGAAAGATTCATAGTGTCTATTCCCGGACAAAGGTTTCATAAAGTGGATGCCTTTCCTATGCTTAGCACTTTGCCTTAGGCGATTTATAGAGCTCAACATGCCAGTTTTTCAAAATAGAGGAGCCCACTTTTCATCAAAAATATAGATTCCGAGACTGTGGTTGCCAGTCCACATTCTCAACACTTAGTTTTTCTGTAAACTTTTTATTACAGAAATATTAAGACTTATAAAAAAGTGAGAGATTGGTATAAAGAACCCAATTTATCCATCTTTTACTTCCAACAATTTGCAGTATATGGTCCGTTTTAGGTGTGCTGTGTACAAATAGTTTTGGAAAACTATTATTACTATTATTTTTTAAATTGAGTTATAATTAATGTATAATATTATATTAGTTTTTGACCCTAGTTTTGATCATTTGAAGTATACACAAATAACATAATGACTCGATATTTGTGTATACTGCAAAATGATCACCACAGTAGGTCTAGTTACTTTCCATAGTAAAATAAACTATTATATTGCCTAAGATATTATTATGTTGCTGAATGTCTCCATGAAAGTTCTAAAAGCCATTGCTATTTTAGTGGACTGATAAGTTTGGGTATGTGGTTAGAGTAATAATATTATTAAGAGAGACCTTATAAGTTAGATATTTTATGAGCAGTTGTAATGCTCTCATTTGCATACAGTGTACTGTGTATGTTGTGTAAAACATTCTGACCAACAGATGTTAGTAGAGGACTGTCCAGGTATTTGCTAATAATGATAGCATTACTTCTCATTTAGTTTCTATTTTCTCACTTGTAACTATCTTTGTCTCTATCCTTTCTAAGCTGCCTACTCCTATAGTCACGCCAAATGTGGGGCTCAAACTCTTGGCCCTGAGGTCAATAGTCACATGCTCTACTGTCCTATAGTCACATCTTAAAAAGTTAACAAGCTTGTCATTATCACCAGCTGTACCTCCAAATTATATCTTGTTAGCATATATTTCTTTCTCTCCACCATCTACATTTCCAACTCAGTTACTTTAGTATCCTCTATAAAAATGTTTGACCTTATTGAGGCCATCAAAAGAAAAGCCTTTTCTTTTTTCTTTTATTTATCTCCACTGATACCTGAATGGAGGGATTTCCACTGATATGGACCAAGCCAGTATCATTTTCTACCTGAGGTATAGCTTAGTGTCTTAGTTGCACTTCTTACTTTCACTCTTGCCCTCCCTACAAACCATTATCCACACAGCAACCAGAGAGATCTCCTAAAAACATTAGTCAACCTCCTTCAGTTTTTCTCCCTCAGTTTACATTGGAGTAACTTAATTGATTATAAAATTTGAAAGTTGTTATCACCAAATTTCCCTTGTATCAAAACCTACCAGTTGCACCAAGTTAAGTGGTAACTACTAAATGATAAATGATCTGGCCTATGCCATGAACTTTTAACTGGTACTTTAAATATAATTATTTCTATAAATAAGCCATGAAAGCATATGGTCTACTGTATAGCAGGTGGTCAGACAATTTGAAAGAAGAATATCAAAATTAACTTAATCTTTAAAACTGAAAAACAGAAAAGACATGTTTTCTTTTTTTAAATTTTATTTTATTATGTTATGTTAATCACCATACATTATTACATCATTAGTTTTTGATGTAGTGTTCCATGATTCATTGTTTGCATATAACACCCAGTGCTCCATTCAATATGTGCTCTCTTTAATACCCATCACCAGGCTACCCATCCCTTCCCCCAGAACCCTCAGTTTGTTTTTCAGAGTCCATAGTCTCTCATGGTTCATCTCCCCCTCCTATTTCCCCCCCTTCATTTTTCCCTTCCTACTATCTTCTTTTTTTTTAAAATGTATAATGTATTATTTGTTTCAGCAACCCTCAGTTTGTTTCCTGAGATTAAGAATTCCTCATATCATCGTGTGCCTAGGTGGCTCAGTCATTGGGCGTCGGCCTTCAGCTCAGGTCATGATCCCAGGGTCCTGGGATCGAGCCCCGCATCGGGCTCCCTGCTCCGCGGGAAGCCTGCTTCTCCCTCTCCCACTCCCCCTGCTTGTGTTCCCTCTCTCGCTGTGTCTCTCTCTGTCAAATAAATAAATAAAATCTTCAAAAAAAAAAAAAAAAGAATTCCTCATATCAGTGAGATCATATGATACAAGGACATGTTTTCTATCTTGAAGAGAATTTAAGAAGTATCCTTTCTGACTTAGTAAATGTTTTCAAAGACTGTGATAATAGAAATAAAGAAACTTTTTTATCTTTTTAACGAGATAGTTTACCTGTGATATAGTTTCTTCCTTTTCCTTGACTTAGAGGAAGAAGATAAGGAATTCTCTAATACTACATATTTGAATCGCTTTCAAATTATGTTTTTAAACTATCAATCTTGATACTCTTTTTTCTACCTCTTTCCTTTTTCCCTTTACAAAACCAGTCTTTTGTTTCTCTCAGTAATGATGCTGAGCTCCCAATGCCTCAGCACCAAAAGAAATTTTATAGATTGTCATGGCAACAGAGACCTAGTCCAGCCTATTTTCTTTACAGATGAGAAAACTGAGGCTACCAGAGGTTAAATGATGTATTTTCCCAAGGTAGCTATCAAGGTGAGATTTTGATAAGTTAATAGTTATATAGTTGTACAAATAACTCTGATCTTATTGAAGTACATGTTTTACACTTAGACATTTTGTATCTCCCTACTGTGACTAACTCCAGCATATATTTAAAATATAAGTATTAATAAATATGGTCATTTTTCTGGGGTGTTGAGATTCAGTTAACCTGCTGCCTCTTGATAACTCATTAAAATGCATTCCTCTACCTGTCACTAGCTATTCCAGTTACTGCTGCCCAGAACCAAAGGGTTTGCTGTTCTTGTTAAAAAGGAAGATTTGCATTGCATCCCTTTGGGTTTAGACACAATTGGAAGCTATGGAACAGATTAAGGATAAGTATCACAGACACATTAGTGACTTACTTGGGGCTTTCTCACAGATTTAACCAAAAGAATTGTGGGAGGAAAAAAAAATCTTACACCTAACAGGAAAAAAAAAAAATAAAGCATTTAGGGAGGCTGAAGTGTGAATAAAATTCTAATAGTCCTTACAAATATTTTTTCCTTAAACTAAAATTAAACACTAAAAATAACACCTAAAGAGAATATTAATTACATCTAAAATAAGGACTACTTCATACCATTGTATCAGTCAGGGACCAGTCAGGAAGATGAAACCACACTAGTTAATAGAATTTTTTATGGTGAGTTGGTTAATTAGGTATGGGAGGGTGATGCAAAAGGGGGAATACTGAGATAACAGAGATAGTAATAGCAAGAATCAGGTACTGCTCCTGGGGGAACAAAGAGAAGAGGTTGGGTGCTCTCTTTGGCAGCTCATATACTACCATTGGAACAATACAGAGAAGATTAACATGGCCCTTGCACAAGGATGACGCACAAATTTGTGAAGCATTCCATATATTTTCCAGAATATTTGCGGGGGGGGTGGGAAGAGAAGAGGTTGAGATTATGATTTAAGATCTCAGAGAAGGGCAGAGCTGGGACCCAGACCTGGGAGGACTAGGTGTTGCTTGACTAGTGTTGGTACCTCAGGGGCTTGTGGGATGGGCTCCACAGGCTAAGAGCTGGACCTTTGAGAAGGAGATGCTGCTTGGCTGTGCTAGTGGCCTCTGAGGGAATATGATGGGTCTGGTTCTGGGAAAATGGAAAACAACAGCAACAACCTAGAAATTGGAACCAACTCTACTGAGTTACTTCCTCTGGAGTAAAGAGTTGTTGCAGGGGCAGCCCTGACAGGAGCAGCAAGTAAAACAGGGAAGCCCTTCTCACTTTCTGGAACTATTCAGCTTTCTTCTCACACCTCTTCCTAGCAGAACTTAACAGGGAGCTAGCTGGCAAAGGAAAAATGTCATTTGCAGAGTTCTATAATAAATTTATGGCAGAGGTAGCAGCTTAGTAACTAGCACAGCCATTAATTGCCATTTTCATCCTTTTATACTGAAAACTTTACATTTCTCTTCCCTGAAGTGCTAATAGTTGTTTATATCCATTGGTTCCTACTGTTGTTCAAGAGATAACAAATAACTTGAATGTTTGAGATTATTGATTAGGTCTTTCTCAATCTATGTGCCCCATGCCTAGTGTTATGTAAGGTTATGTAGGCTTTTGCCCATCGTGGTAACTTCATTGTATAGTATGTGGCTCAGCATCTTCTTTCTTACAAATGCTAAGGGTGTACGGTTCTGAGTCCTGAGTTTACTTTCCTCTATACATTTTCACTGCAATAAACTTCTTTTTGCTCTTCTACTTTCCTTCCCTTTTCTGTACCCACCTGGAGTTTCCTCTTTTGAGACTGGCCCATAACAGGATTGATTTGTAGTTTGTGCATACTGGAACCAAAAATATGGGTTAAAATGTGTTTATTAGCAATTAAGAACCTTTTAACATTTTGTGTAAGGGAACTTAAAGTTAAGGAATATTTTCCATATACCATTGTTCAAGGTTTTTTTTCCTCATTATTGGCTCCCCCAGAGAAGAATTAAATTTAAATCAATTTGATCGATTTTCATTTAACTTGAATGAGAGAGAAATTAACAAATACTAAGGAATAAGATTCCTGAATTGAGTTGAGCTCTGGAAGGCCACAAACCAGTTTAATACCTAAAAATTTGTCTGCTCTCCCCCTCCAATTGAGAATTGAGAATCCATCTATATAATATACATGCTATATATTAAGAGACTTGGGTTCCAGTACAAACTCAGTTCCTGAATACAAACTCCTTTACCAAATAAGGATCTCCTTGTCTTCCCCTCCCCCTCCAGCCCCTTAATGAGAGAAGTGGCTTTCCAGCTTTTCTTATCACTTCTTTAATCCTTATCTTCCTCTTTCCTTCTTTCCCCTTACTTGCTCCATTTGCCCCCTCGGCTGGGGTGAATGGATGGACAGAGATCCTTTTACTCTCCTGCCGCACATGCAAAGCATATAGTTTGGAAACCATTTCGTCTATGATTATATCACATAATTCAATACATTGAAAGCCTGTTTGGAAATCATTGGAGAGAAATGTGAGCTAGGTTTCTGGGCCAGGGTTCAGAAACTTTTTTCCATAAAGATCCAGATAGTAAATATTTTCGGCTTTGTGGGCTTACAGTGTCTGTCAGAACTACTTAGCTCTGTGGTTGTAATGTGAAAAGCAGCTACAGACAATAAATAAATGAATAGGCATGTCTATGTTGCAGTAAATTTTACTTAAAAAAGCAGGCAATGGGGCCAAGTTAGCCTAAGGACTGTAGTTTGTCATCTTCTGGTCTAGGCCGCCACAGCCTCTTGTATAGAATAGTGGCCTCCCAAATGAGGTACACACACTTTTGATTGCACCCTCCATAACTTAAATACAATTTTTAGTATATGTGTATATATTTCCCAGTTTATTTAAAAATTTGATAGATGTACTAATATACTAATCTATTATGTCATCATGTTTAAGAGTAGCATACTTTGCATTGTATAGATACATACTAACCTATTTAATAATCCTTGTGTCTTTTGACATATAAGTGGTTTTCATTTATTATTGAAATGATGGATATTCTTTTTTTTATTATGTTATGTTAATCACCATACATTACATCATTAGTTTTTGATGGATATTCTTATACATAAATATTGTACATATACGTATATGTATATGTACATATATGCAGAAATATTTTTGTATCTAAATACCTTTGTGTATATTATATTTCTGTAGAATAAATTCCCAGAAGTGAACTTTCTGGGTCAAAGAGTATTGGTTTTTATGAGGTTAACACACATTGTCATTTTGCACCCTGGGAAGCTAGTATGAATTTCCCCTTCTTCCACCACTAGCAATGAGTAAGTGCCCACTTTTAATGTACTGAAAATATTATTACTCTAGCCAAAAATTTATTGACTGAATCAGTAAAATAATTAGAAATACAGTTAGTATAATATGATACTTCTTATTTCTGTGGATGACGGAAAATTTACTTTGTCATTTCTGATTACAATACCCTTTCTAGAGGGAATTTAATGATGCTATTTCTTGACTATTACTAGAAGGGATGGATACTGACATATCTGATAAAAAGATGGCTGAGCACCCAGGAAGTAAGTCTTCCAGCGCTTCAGTGAAGCCATTTCAGACCCACTTTTTGTAGCATTATAACAAAGCACACACAGGTTCAGACATTTATTCATCAGCTCTCCCAAGAGGCTAGCTAGTTTCACTTTCAGAGCTCTATTTATATGAAGTAGTAAACCATTAAGAACTGTAGACTTTGTATCTGGATGGCTTTAGCTTCTTATATTCTGAAGTTAATGGGGTGGGGGGGAATCCCATCTTTTTAGATTGTATGCCATGACTTTTTCCTCATTGTATCTCAATTCAGATATCACTATTGATAAAATTCCTGGAAAAAATTACTGATTAACATCACCTTGGGAATGGGATGCCTAAAACAGCAGGTGATAGGATTTGTCAAATTATCATCAGGTGAAAGCATTTTAAGACTGAAAATAGTAAAATCTGGCATTTTAAAATTACTTTCTAAATAGTTTTATAAATTCCAGATTTCTAAATGTAGTAAATAGTGCTTTAGGACTATGTGATACATGTATATTTTTTTAAAGGGTAGCTTTTCCTTGCCTACTAAATGTGAGGTTTTATTTTTTCTTTCTGGTGCTGTCAGGTTTGAAGGAGGTTAAGTTGCTGGTTGGAACTGAAAATGCTGTGTAGGAATTAATATACCCAATTAAGATTTTTTTGCAGTTCTTTATTTGACATAATTTCAAACTTAACAAATATGTTTCAAGAAGAGTAAAGAACTCTCATATACACTTTACCCAGATTCACCAATTGTTTACATTTTTGCCTCATTTGCTTTATCAAATTTTCTGTCTGTCTCTCAGTACTCTTTTTTCTGAATCATTTGATAGTAAGTGGCAGGCATCAGTCCCTTCATGCCTAAATATTTTTGTGTATATTCCATAAGAATTTTTTTTTAAGGTAGCCACAGTCAGTAATCAAAATCAAGAAATTTAACGTTGATACAGTATTATATATAATCAGTTCATAGTCCCAGTTATGTCATATAACTTCCTATTTGCGTGTCAACCACCTTTACCGTCCACAAAAGGCTGAGTCCAGTCCAGGGTCATGTATTACAGTTAGTTGTCATGTCTCTTTAGTTTCCTTTAATGTAGACTAGTTCCTTGGCTTTTCTTTGTCTTTCATGACCTTGACATTTTTAAAGCTATATAGGCTGGTTGTTTGATAGAATGTCCCTCAATTTGGGTTTTTCCAACATTTCCTAATGATTAGAGTCAGGTTGTGCATTTTTTTGTCAGGAATATCACAGAAATAATGTGATATTACTCATATCAGGACTCACAGCACATGATATCAGGACTCACAGGATGTTGGTTTGTTCCATTATTGGTGATGGTAACTTTGATCATTTGGTTAAGGTCCATTCAAAATTTGATCTGGCAACATAAAAAGAACTTTTATAGTGGTTTGATTTCTAAGGCACACATTCTTGTTGAATAAATTGATATGTTTTCTCTGTATATATTACCTGTTCCCCATTTGGGGAACAAAACAAAACAAAATGGGCTTCTTTGTTTAATATTGGTGAAAAAATTAAGTGAATAAATAAAATAATAGATTTGTATCATTCTACTTGTATCAATTTCGGGGGGTTTATTTCTACTTCCTTGGTTTCAAATTCTTTATAGTTTGTTTACAGACTGTATTGGTAGAAGATACTACATTTTATAACTTACCTAAAGAGTTGTTATGATATGGAATTTTAATTTTAAAATTGTTTCATGTTTTAATACTTTCTTCCTTTTCTCATGCAGTGCTGAGCCCTATTCGTATATTATCCCCATTGTTTCTAGCCCTGTACCAAATCAAATCTGGAATATTCCATTATTTATATACTCCTCTTAGATAAATTTTAAATTAGGAATGAAACAGATACAAAAGCATGATATTCCATAAGTACTTGGTTTTAAGAATTTTATTTTAAGGTGAGAAGGACTGTCACAACTTCTTTACTTTCAGAGAATCCATTTCTGAAAGATTAAAATGTATCCTTTTTCAAGTCCTTAAGAGAATTCCAATCTCCTTTAACAATCTATTCAAGTACTTAACACACTCTAGAAATTCTTTTCTGTAGTTGACCTAAGTCTGCTATCCTATTTCATGTTTATTTGTAGTAAAGATGAAGAATAACTAGTTAATGGCTTTGAAAATATTAAATCCCACATCCTCAGTAAATTACTTGCTTTCAGAGATACCATTTTCTAGTTCTCTAGTCAGATGTGTGACTAACGTGTGGCCATCATGCCACTCTTTAGTTAGAAATCCAGAATTGGATAAGGACCATGGACCATGGACCTTTTATTTATTGGCCTCAACTTTAATGTTATTAAA